TAAAGTAACGCCCGCCACAAAGGCCAGCCCACCATCCTGCAAGCGTGAGTGCATGGTTAACTCTGAAGAGGGAGACATTGCATCGAGTAATTCGCCTGGTGAGATCAGTGAAGCGCCACAGGCTTCCACTCCACCTTCCTTCCCTACAGTTCCTCCGTGCACCATTTACGAGAATGCGTACGGGTTGAACTACCCCTCCTATCACCAAAACGGGCAACAAGGCAGCTACTCGAGCGCACCGTACGCAGCCTGCCACTCTCCCTCCTACACCAGTTCAAACACACCCAATGGCCGGGCTTACGTTCACCGATACGAGCCTCAGATGAGCCCTGAGCACTCAGCCGTTGTTCCTGGCCGCTACTCACCGCATTTGAGCCATTACAGTCAGCAAGCCACACAAAACCAACACGTAGAGGAGGTCCAAGTACACCGGCAACAATACGCTGCAGATTATGAACCTCCAGCTAGAGCGGGCCAGTGGTACTCATCATCCAGCTACCACAGTAATGAGCCCTCTGTCTCCAGCGCCCATAACTGCTTCCCGAATGTACGCGAGATGTTTGAATCGCAGCGTCTGATCGCTCCTAGTGGTGGACAGACAGTGCCGGTCATGCAAGCAACTCAAGGTCAGTTTGGATCTTCTAATGCTGCTTATCACTCAACTGCGGCATCCGTGCCTCAGTACACTCTTTAATCTTTGATCTCCTCACTGAACTAAGACTATTTTAGGACAAGACATTGTGGAAGGGTTCAGAGCCTTTATGAAAATGTATAGTGTTCTTTCGTTTTTCTGTACTTTTTGCTTTGTTGGGAATGGATACTCAACTCAGATGTAAAGAGAGAGAGACTTAATTTTTTAGGCACGACAAGAATATATTTTACCAAGTTTTATACAATTCGTAGTTGTACCCCAAGCGTTATTCGGGGTTTCCGCAATTTTTAAGTTTCATTTTAAGCGCCAAGTTGTTTGACAATTGATTTTTGTACCGGTGAAGTTTGTTTGTAGTGAGGCTTAGGAGCAACAAGCGTTGTTTTCTTTCAACTCGCCCTCCACAAGTGTTTCACTGTATGTCGCCCACAATGCTCACAGTATGAGGGGACAGTCAATCGAGTCCAGCTAAACTGTTTCGTCATCAAACCCGCTTTTCCAAACCGCAAGCTGCCAGTCATGAAAACCTGCACGCAATTCGTGATTAACTTTATCCGTATTTGTAAATTTTAGTGCCAAAAAGTTTTTTCAAACCGGTGAAAAACACTCACTGCGAGGGTGTGTTTAAAGAATCGCGTTGCGAAGAAAGGTTTGTTTTGTAATCAAACTTATACCAGCAATTATGTCAGTGATTATTGTGATGTCTAGCATAGAACGGCCTTTAAACTACTGCGTATCGCTGGTGTACATAGGACTCAAAGGATTTTGTTATATTTAATGATGTAGAGCTATTTTTCAATCTGATTTATTCTTGATATAAAATCCCAACGAAAAGCAAAAGCGATTAGTTTTTCTAAGACAAAATAGAGATTGTGTACGTGATTGTGTGTATGTTTTTATTCACACGTTTTTTACACCACTTAGCGGTTTAGATGTGTAGACCTGATTTACATATGCTTTTACGAAATAAAATCGAACTGATCGTACTTTTTCATGAGGCCTGTGTTCTTCGTGTGCAGTTTGTTAGGTTTTTCTGCGAAGTGCATTGTTTTGTTGGATTAGATAATCTATCACGCACCTTTTTAGGTGAGATTTACGAGTGTGCAACGATCACAACGAGTTTTTCCAATCGTTGAAAGGTTAATGCGACCACAGACACTGAAAACTTGTGTGAAAGCGAATTTTAATGGGAAGAATAAAAGAAAAACAATGGCGAGGCTAGAACGTAAGATAAAACGTGAGAAATTCCACAGGTCCCCAACAACGGAATTAGAAGAGCTTAAAACCAGCTAGATCTCTTTATTGGTTTCACCCCATCGGTAATCCTATAACTGATGTCTCTGTAGAAACTAAGCAACGGAAAAAGCAATTTTTTTTCATTTTTCGAGTTAACAACATTTACGCAAAGCACAGCAGGCACGAGGGGACCTTCCTTTGGATCTGCTGGCACTTCTCTCGGTGTGGTCATCAGTGATGATATCTGCGCGTGCCGCAAACCACTTGGGTGAAACCTTGATAAGGCGGCTGATCATTTCATCAACGATGTTTGCGGCGAACCAGTTCGTGTGGTTTCTACATATGGGCGGTGGAAATACGAGTATCACATTTTGCGTTGAAATCTTTTCTTCCAAATTCTGATCGTTGGTTCTCTATTATCTATCTCGCTAATGTCGTGCCTTGCAATAGGCTGATGTTCTAACTCGATGTTTATTTTGCCCAATGGAAGGAGAACAGTTGTAAGAAAAAATTTTCTTATGATTTTTGCAACATATCTCTAGTACTAAGGTCACTACACCTACAATGCCTCCAATTAAAGTGTTTCTTTCCAAAAAAGTGACCAACTGATTCGTGTAAAGATTCAAACGTCTGTTCAAGCGCTTGGTTAATTTCGCAAGACCAATTTTCAAACAGCCTTTTTTCGTACCTCTTCTATCATAGCCGTTATCTTAGGAGAAAGGTAAAGTTTCATCGCACAGGGTGGAAGAGCATTCGTGTTCTGTTTTCAAAGATAGTAAAGAGGAAATCTAGTAAGGGTAGGAATCTCGCAAGGGAAGGAAGTGGAGTTGGGATGTGGTCACAACAATGTTTTTGATAGAGGTCGCTTGTTGCCGCCTCTTTCTTAGAAACATTACATCAGTTTCTACTCCAATTTCCCTTTTTCAGTTTTATTTGGGCTTTTTTGTAATCCAGCTGCTACAACACTTACGTAGAAGGAAATTTATTGATGTGAATCACCAAGGACTAGAGGGTGCTTATTTACAGACACCTCAAGGTACTCCTAGTTGTAGTGTGTGTTATACTCTCACGTCTGGAAAGCAGAAGTAAAGGTTGCTTTGAGAAACAAAGATTCTTTGATATGTCACGGCATTTTACAGAATTGTTCAGTGCTGATTTGTGATAATCATACTTTTCAATTATGCCACTCCCTTGTTGCACATTCAAATCAATCTTGGTCGTCTATTAGTTTGCTGTAATCCTTCGTCGCGACTTAAAATCCTACTTAACGATTTTGCTCGTTCTTGTTTTTTTTGGGACACGACATGATACTTCCAGAAATGTAGACTATGACGCAAATTTTTGGTTCAAGCGTTTCCCTTGTGAGTTTTTAGGTTTATTTACATTCGTAGACCACAAACTTCACTCACTTCTCGGAGGTGCGTCAGTAGCCCTCATAATTTGATGCATTTCCCAGTAGAAAATGTTTTCATTCTGCAACAGTCAAAGCATTGTTAAGTGACGCTACAATTTTAAGTGGCCGTCTCTCTTTTTAATATATAAATATCTTTGCACTCTTGTCCTTAAAAAAAAAGTTGTTTTTAAGTTAAAACGACGTTAATGACGTTAAGCAACTGCAATGAATACAATATTTTATACACCTATTAACTTTGCTGCGCACAAACTTTAGGATAACTTGTAAACCTTCCAGTTTGCAGATTTATCATTAAATTTTAGACTTTGTATAGCTTTAGAAAGCCCAGTTATCGAGGTTCACTCTTAATCTTGGTGCCAGATAAACAGAGTTAGTGTACCGGCTTATTACTCAGTACTAAGGATAAATCAGTGATCGTGGAGTCCGAGTATTTCATTGCATGAGGCACATTCGTAGTCTTAAAGCTGAAATGACAATAAGATTGAGTTATTTTGAACTTATATAACAAAATATTCATAGCTGTGTCTCATATTTTGTTAAAGAGTGGTTAATTTGAACATCGAGTCTTTATGTAGGTTGAGCTGGTATTGAACCATTCAAGAAAATGCCAGTGAAGGTTTCGTTGTTCACGGACCAAATTGTCCTTGTCGCTTAGCAAACAACACCACATGAAAGCACCTGGTGGCAGCCTTAATCGGATAGTCACAAGGCCGGATTTTAAGCATACAATTTTTCTTATTTACCAAGAAGAACCTTCCTGAACATCCCAATTAATAGTTACCTCATGGAGCTGCCATTTGTTGGTTTCCATACAAAATGATAGTGAACAGTGATTTCCAGATATAATTTTAGTTGCAGAATCTGTTGTTTTATGTAGTTCTAGTGTAAAACCATGAGACGTTTGTTTCTGCATGAAATTCTTTATTTGAATGTTAGTATACAAGAAGCAGAATTGCAACACTCTGGCTGAACAAATACAGCAGAATAGAATGACATTAAGAGACTTGTCCAAAGATTATACTAATATTAGTGCAAGTTTGTCAGAGCTCCTTTTTCCACCTTAAATGTTCTCCTTCGACTATTTAACTTGGAAAGTTTTTCCAGTAGAACCAATTTACATTAACCGAAAATGAATTCTTTTTCTCATTTAAATTTGCCCTTATGGTCTTCTTGGTGTTGCAGATCTTAATTGGTCGTAATTCCTACATTAGTGATGCTTGTTTCTCGCCAATGTTTGTTATTTCATGCCTAGCAGTGTTGCTCAATTTCTACTTGAATCAGTTCACCGAGGGGCACAAATAAACTCTATTTATCCGCAAGTATACACAATTAATTCTTAAGTATTACAGGTTTAAAAAACCATCTTGTCTTTCGCTTCCGTTTTGTCCGGGCTTCAAATCTTTCGTATTCTTGAAAGGAAATCCGTACACATCGAAAAGACGATCCAGTAGTGAAGTCTTTCCTCCTGTTGGAATTTATTTTTGTGGAATTTTTTGCGAAGTAACGTATACGTGCACATTTTTGATCTGCAAAGAATGTAAGAAGCCAATGCCTTGTAATAATCTGAAGTCATCCTCCTCAGGAATTTCAAGGATTTGAATCAGCCCCAAGCATAATTTAGATCGTTTTGATTTCACAAACTGAGCATTTGTGAGCATCATTTTACATCGAAATATGGCAAACCTATAAAGACGGTGATATTTTCGTTTCAAAAAAGAAGCATGCCAACTGGCTATCGTGAGTGTTAGCTCTTAGCTTTTAAGAAGACACCTGGTACGTTTGCGGTTTGTCTGTGTTAAAATCTAATTTTATGTACAAGGACAGCTCTAGGTTACTTTACAGAACAATCAACATCATTGAAGTGTTTTCCTCTAACAAGCTTACCTCGTTAAATTTGCGTTTAAACCTCTCTCGTTTGTTTGTCGTGCTAAGTCGTGTCTGCGTTTTGTAAGGGAGAGTTAATGCGGTGTTGTCGTTCGGTTGCTGTAAAGCGGTAGATTAGATGCACATTTTAAGATAACGTCCTGCCGAGCACTCATTCCATCGTCTCCAGAACAGGTCGGCTTATGACTCGCTAAGTTGACGATCTAACAGCGGTTAGTCTATGAAGAATTCTGCTTTTTTTCTTTTTTTTCGCTGACAGAAGAATCACCAATCTCGTTTTCTAAGCAGGACGTTTCCCCTGTAGCAAACCTTCATTGTGGGTTTGTATACCGAATGAACTACTTGTCGAGTTGAGTGAATCCAACGGGTAGGATTTGTGCCAAGTTTATTTGTAGAGCAAACATAGTCCAAAGTGCTACGAAAACAGTGTAACAGACTTAGCTCTCCGCTATCTATTTTGACTGCTCCCTTGTTGTTAAATAAGATCAGTGAAGATAGTCAACAGATGAACATGTTTTATTGAGAAGTTTGCGAAGGCTTTCCATAGGTTTTCGATGTAAAAGGAACCTCGAACTGATCTAATTTTGTTCCTTGCCCCGGGCTTTTTTTCCGTGATGGAGATTTTGTGAGCCGAAATTAAATTGGGCTCGTGCTCTCAGGAAAATTGAAATACACAGTTTTATTTTAGCATCGGTCACTTCAGCTCTTAACTTTGTTCTTAAGGAAAGTAAAGAGACTGAAAAAAGTGAAGTACATAATTCTACACGCTTTGTTCTTTAACTTGTGAACTGATTTAGTTTGAAGACCTTCCCTCTCAATGTTGGAGAACTCATCATTGGGAAGGATTTACAATGTACGGTGTCAAATGTATTTGTAACCTTGAAAGTTTGCGTGTTCCGTTGAGCCTGTAAACTCGTTCCTCTTATTGCGTCTGTCTGCCTATTAATCTGCAATCAAAGCTTTGGTTTAGCATGGTAATACAAATGAACACATGCTGGTTAAATTTGCCTTGCGTAGTGGAGTGGCCATGCTCGTTCTGCCTTGTTGTCACAAATTGAAGATATACGATTACACTCCGCAAAATGACAGCTGTTCATGAAGAGTTCAAAAAAACTACGCTAGCAATTAATCTGGCAGATGCGTTCAATCAGGTTTGAGAAACGCTGCTCTTGTACTTGCCTGTCCAAGAGCTTGTAAGATAAAATCGATGCTGAAAATTTCCATCTCCATTGACTTAAATACTTCCTCGAGATTCGGATAGCGCGCTTAAGCGTGTTTACATATTTCTAAATCTATCGCCGTGTCTAATTGTTCAATTTTACTTCAGCCGGCCAGGGTTTTTTTGCAATAAGAAAAGAAACCGGCGGATGTCCTAGCAATTACTTTTCTACGGAACTGTTATCTCCGTATGGTGGGTGGCATTCTCATTAGGGAAGAAGCAAATGGCCCGGCTTGCGCCAAAG